ACCACTAAAACAAATTGGAGAGGTTCCTTTCCAAGGGAAATCTTATGTGCATTTTGTCGTCAACACTGGCTAGGAGAACCTGTATTTTCCAATTTGAGTATTCCTCTAGAAGAATCATCTGACTTTTTAAGTTCATCAAAGAATTCGAAGGTCTTAGAGTCAGCCAAACCAGAGTTGGAGAAAGCAAATGGAGGTGCAACTGTTGCTAATGGCCTTGAGTCAGTAGGATTAGGAAGTTCTCTTGGATTTGAAGTAAAAATATTTTCAAAATCTCAAGAACTAATTATGGACTTTTTGCTTAAAAAATTTTATAAGAAACAGAATGATTCCATCCAAATTGCCTCTTTGAAAGTTCTTTCATGGATAGATGCATATCTTAAGGGCTCTAATATGCATTTGGAGGAGGTAACATACTCAGCTGATGCCCTACATACTTATTTTTATCGTGCCCAAAATCTTTTTAAGGAATTTGCATTTTTTGTAAACATAGAAAAACAACACAATGTGGTTCAAAGAGACAAGTCACTAGAATCAAGCTGTATGAATGCTCAGGACACCGCACAAAGACAGTGCATTGGTTCTTCGAGGATAAGTGGTCCAGATTCCAGTGTATATCCATCTAATGGTTCCTTGATATGTATAGGTTATTCTGTGTTTCTGGTGCCAGAAGATGAATCATGGAAAGAACTTCTGGAAAATCAGGAGGAGTTTGAATTTGAGATGGGGACTGGAGCAGTGATTCCATGTCTTGAAGCAGTTGTAGCTCAGATGTCTGTTGGACAGTCTGCTTGCTTCAATACATTATTGCTTCCTAAAGAGCTGATTTTAGCTGCAGCAGATGATTCAGTGAGGATTCGTTCTTTGTTATCTACAAGTGAGTTGCCTATTTTTTTTCTTTCTTCCTTTTTTATTTTTTGGTCAGAGTGCCTACTGCCTGTCAAAAAACGACTTTTTCTCATACTCTGAAACCATTGAATTTCCAAAGAAATTTAGATTTCAAAATTGATGATCTCAGTTGTGACCAATTTTTTCCTTTGTCACATTTCTTCAAAACATTAGTGTACCAGTAAATTAATAAGAATAACCAAAAGAAGAAAATCGATTTTTTTGCTGAAAGTTAGGTTGTATGATAAATGGTTCTTGAATTGTCTCCATGTTCCTTGAGTCAAGCCGTGCAGTATAAGTTTTATGTATTTGTCACTGCTGCAATGAATTCCTTTAACATTATGCAACTTAAAAATTTATTTTATACATTGGAAGAATCCATTTTGTTATTAATAGACCAGTAAAGGGGAAAAGAATAACTGAAAGAAAGAATTAGTTATTCATCAAAGCTTTATGTATTCAAAGATCAAAAGTAAAAGCGGATATATAGCCCAAAGACTAGAACAAAAATTCGTATATTTGCATCAAGCTTTCGAAGTTTCTGTATTAATTTAACATTGATTATTTTAGTGAAACTGTTGTCCACTGCAAAAATGATCTCTTCACTTTTTAGTAGGCCTGTGCATTTCTTTTATTTCAACTCGTTCTGCTGAGATCTAGCAGATTCATCATTTCTTTCCATTCATATTTTTGCAGAAGCCTGCTATTTGGAGTATGCTGTAATTCTGTTGCGGGTATCTGAACCACCTGAAGAACGAATGGAACAGGCACTTTTTAGCCCTCCACTTTCAAGGCAACGAGTGGAATATGCATTGCAGCATATTAAAGAGTCTTCTGCCACCACTTTGGTATTTGCTTCATGTGTCTGATTTGCTCAAAAGTATACTAATGTTTTTTGAAATGTAACATTCAAGATTTTTTTTCTATTTTACTTTTAGGTGGACTTCGGATGTGGATCTGGAAGTTTATTGGACTCTTTATTAGATTATTCAACCTCTCTGGAAACAATTGTAGGCATTGATATTTCACAGAAGAGTCTCACCCGAGCAGCAAAGGTAGTCTGGAACTGTTTACCGCTTCCCATTAAATAAATTTTCTTTCTTCCAGATGAGGATTAGGATCAGTAATGCATATTCTTCAATGATTTTCTTATAAGAAGGGTCCCTCACCCTCATAGTTCAAAGCTAGTATCCTCTCAGTTTAAGAGGGTGTTTGGGTAGTATTCTTTTATGGATAAAGGCCCTTAAAGCACATTTTAGTTAAAAATAAGCTCTTAGGCCTTTCAATTACTCTTGGAAATGCTAAAAGCTATGGAACTTGTAGCCCAATAATCATAGCTCCCCTGACTAGCTTTTCTTAAAGAGCTTTAAGTTGAATTTTGACCAAAAGAACTCTTATCAGAACAAATTATTATAGTTAAAAGAACTTTTATCTAAAGAATAACTAATTCTACTAGTTATTTTACTAAATTTTCAGCTTAAAACTCTAATTTTGCTATAACAGCTCATTAGAGTCTAAAAGCTAGAAAGAAAAGCATCCCAATGGTTTTTCTGCTTGCAGTAGAATGAGCTTAAAGATCAATAGAACAAAAAAAGCCATATGCACTTAAAGCGCCCCCAGAAGAAAAATCCAATATGTTTGTGAAGCTTATGTTGTATATGTTGATTGGATCAAATTTATTTAAGACAGGAAAATCATGAAATTCTTTTCTTTTTCCTACGTAAGGATTACAGAATACGTACAGTAAGTATTGTTACAATTTAGGAAACTAATTAAACCTGAATTCATACGAGTGTGGGATACTAATTTATACTATTACAACCAAATTATTCCTATAGCTGATACACAGTACATATTAATTATAAGTCATTATATCGTGTGACTCTTTTCTATGCTCATCCTTAGCTGGTGAATATATATTGTTCATTCGCAACTTGCTAGGAATTATTTGAAATGGAATACTAGGCAACCCTTATGCGAGAATATCTCCTACCTGATTGCCTGAAGATATATATGGAGTAGATATCAACCCACTCTAGTTTTCCTTTTACAAAATATTTGTCCACTTTCACAGATTTGATTATATCATGTCGCAAAACATATGAGTAATACTAATAGCTTTTTTTTTTGCTGCAGTATAACCTAATTGGTGCATTCCATTTGATTTTCACGTCATCCAGAACAAATTTGAACCATAAAATTTTAGATATTCCTTGAGCATTGCAATGAATTCTGATTCATCACTTGACCTTACTACCA